GGAGACTCGCTTGAGCCCAGGAGTTGGAGGTTGCTGTGAGCGTGATGCCATGGCACTCTACCCAGGGGGATAGCTTGAGGCTCCGTCTCAAAAAATCAAAAACAAAAACAGAAAAAAACAAAGGACACTTCATGAACAGAGCAGAGCATCCAGGGCAGACTTCCTGTTGCTTCTGGCTGCTGGGCCCCCCCGGGGGCCACCTGCTCCTATTGCCCCCATCCAGCTTCCCTCTCCTTGCCACGCCAAGGTCCAACCTCAACCTCAGCATCCTTGCCCTGAGCTGGTGTTGGGGAGCATACTCCTAACAAGGAGTGTGGCAGCAAGAGCAAGAATCTCACAGGATCCTCAGATGCCCCATGGCCATTTTTTGTTCCCACGGCCCCTCAACTCCATGGTATTAGTATTTTTGGTCAAAGTGAAGACCCAGTCAATAGAAGGAGCCCTGCCCTCTGGGCCTGGGAAAAGATTGGGGCTTAGGGCCAAGATGTGGAGAGGTGGTTGTTATAAACCCCCACCCAGCGTTGCCCCAGGAACCACAGTGTGGGGCTGTGAAAAGTCTCTTTAGAGGGTAGGCATTTCCCTTGCAATGCTGTTGTCCCTGGACTGTGGACTGCAGCCCTGTTAGAGTCTCTAGTGTTTGGTATAGGTCAAGTTACAAGCCTTGCCCCCAGGCCCACAGGGGTGGGAGGCAATGAACCTTGGAAAATGGGTCCCCCATTCCTGCTTCCCCAGAACAGCCCTATTCTTCATTTATCTGCCTGTTCCCTCACCTTGGGGGATGGGGCACATATGGTCCAGCAGGGGGTCCTGGGCATTAGCTGCAGAGCCTGCTGGGATTTCTGAGAGTCTTGGGAAGGCTGGCTCTTGGTGGTCACTGGGCCAGCTTCTCCCCCTGGCCCCCACCGGAGACCAGGGAGGAGCGCAGGAGACTGGGACTATAGATTCAGAACTGAAGTGTGACTTAGGGAAGAACTTGAAGTAGATTTACTCCCTCCAGAACAGACCATGAGAAAGGGCCCAATTATTGAAATATAGAGGAGGTCCCTGGGCCTCCTGTTATCCAGCTCTGGGGAGAAAGGTGGGCCCCACAGTGCCACGGCTGAAAGCCAGATCCTCCCCTTCCAGACAAGGATGGGTGTGGGGTGTTGAGGGAGAGATCCTTGCAAGGATGGGAAGGGGACATCAGGCCACAGGAACCCTTCACTGGCATTTCCTAATCTTCAACCTGTGTGGCAGGGAGACAGTCTGCCCTTGCAGATAAACTCTGACACCAGGTCTGAGCCTGTAAACACTGCAGATTCAGGACTGGAGAAAACAGATCTCTAGCCTTTCCTTTGAGGTCCCTCAGAAGGCCAAGGGAGGGCAAGAGGGCAGGGGCTATGCCCGTTGGTGGGGTGGAGGAGGGCAGGAACAGGCCCTGGCAGTTGGCTTTTCACCCCTTTTCTCACTTCCAGGGACTCAGGGAGCCAAGATATCAAGAGGTAAGCATCCCAGGCCCTTGGCTGGGAGGGACAGGAGGTAGTAGCTAGGCTGAGAGCTGCAAAACTGGCTGGGAGACAGACATCCAGAAGGGATGATGAATGTGCAGGAAAGCCCAAAGTTAGGAAAGGCTGTGGCTCTGCAGAACTGGACTCCCGGAAGTAGGTGGGAGGTCTCACACACTGAGGTATGGGGCAGAGGGGCAGGGTTTAGAGACCATTCCAATAGTTACTTACTTCCCAGAGGCTGTGACACCCCAGCCATCCTTCTGATATCTGTTTTGTGCCAGACCCTGAGACATGTTATCTCAACCCCTCTGGGCCCTGAGACATAGGACTTAAGGCCACTCTCCACAACCAAGGGCAGGCAGCAAGGTACATGGGAGGGTCTACCTGCATCAGAGGCCAAGCCCATGCTGTGGCCCCACATCCCCCAGCATCATGGGCAGCTCAGGGCAGGGGGTTGAGGATGGAGCAGAAAGTGGAGGCTGGAGTGTTAGACTAGGGGAGGGCCCACAGAGAGCAGAACTCCAGCAAGTGCCCCACCCCTGCTGTGTCCCCCCCCAGCCTGCGGGCGTCCACGGATGCTGAACCGAATGGTGGGCGGGCAGGACGCTATGGAGGGTGAGTGGCCCTGGCAGGTCAGCATCCAGCGCAACGGGAGCCACTTCTGCGGGGGCAGCCTGGTCACAGAGCGCTGGGTCCTTACTGCAGCACACTGCTTCCCCAAGTGAGTATGCGCGCCCGGCTCTTCAGCACCGTGGACAGCACCACCACAGCAGCTGTCTGCACTGGCCCACGTCCCAGCCAGAGACTGGCTTCCTTTAGCTCCAACCCCAGGGCTGACTTGCAGCTGCAATCGTTGCCCCACCTTTTCCTCCCAGCCCAGAAGGGCTCGCTCCTCAGATGCCGGTCTTGCCAATGAGGCACTGTGTCACACCTGGGGCCCTGTCCCTGCTATGCTGGCAGGCTCCTCCCTTACCCTGGCTTCTCCTATCTCAAACTAGGATACTCTCTTCCTGGCTGTGACTCCGGTAATAAGCCCAAGTACTGGGGCAAAAAGTTCCTTCCTCCCCTTCTAGGTGTCCATGGTCACCTGTGCAATCAAACCCAGTCCCTCCTACTCCCCACTACCCTGGCCCAGACCCACAGGGTTTCCCAAGCACCTCTCTTCCTCGCAGCCCTGGGATTCTTATAAAATTCAGAAGCTCAGGTTCAGTGTAGGTCACCTGCCAGAAGCCCACAGTTCGAGCAAGGCTTTGCAACACCCTGTGGGGGAGGCCCCCCCTTCATCTCTCACAGCAAGCCTTTCAGGGAGGGCTGTTGCCGTCCCCATGTTACAGATGAGGAAACTGAGTCAGAAAACTTGCTAAGTAACTTGCCCCAGGTCACCTGGGGGCCAGAGGTGGGGAGGGGAATCAAGGCTTCAGGTTCCACTGTCTGGAGCTGCTGCCCCCCCCCCAAGAAGACATCCTTAAGATAAGATAATGTGCAGAGAGAGATGTCAGGCACCATGGTGGGACAAGGAGCACCCCCAGCCCCTCCCAGCTGCCTGATCCCTGGGACAACTCTCTGCTCTCTTTCCAGCACCTCTGAAACATCCCTGTACCAGGTCCTGTTGGGGGCTCGGCAGCTGGTGAGGCCAGGGCCACATGCCATGTATGCCCGGGTGAAGCGGGTAGAGAGCAACCCTTTGTACCAGGGCATGGCCTCCAGTGCCGATGTGGCCCTGGTGGAGCTGGAAGAACCAGTGACATTCACCGACTACATCCTTCCTGTGTGCATGCCTGACCCCTCAGTCATCTTTGAGACAGGCACAAGCTGCTGGGTCACAGGCTGGGGCAGCCCCAGTGAGCAAGGTAAGGGGGGCCTAGAGAGAATGGGACACATACCTGGAGAAGGGAAGAGATGGAAGGCCCATCGTGGTGCTTAGAAAGAAGGGTGCCTGTGTTCTCAAATTCTGGGAGGCCAAGGCAGGTGGATCACTTGAGCTCAGGAGTTTGAGACCAGCCTGAATAAAAGCAAGATCCCGTCTCTACTAAAAACAGAAAAACCAGCTGGTACCTGTGGCTCAGTGGGTGGGGCACCAGCCCCACATACTGAGGGTGGTGGGTTCAAACCTAGCCCCAGCCAAACTGCAACAAAAAATAGCCAGGCGTTGTGGCAGGCACCTGTAGTCCCAGCTACTCGAGAGGCTGAGGCAGGAGCATTGCCTAGACCCAGGAGCTGGAAGTTGCTGTGAGCTGTGACACCACAGCACTCTACCAAGGGTGATAAAGTGAGACTCTGTCTCTAAAAAAACAAAACAGAAAAACCAGCTGGGCATCATGGCAGGTACCTGTAGTCCCAGCTACTCCGGAGGCTGAGGCAGGATTGTTTGAGCCCAGGATTTTTTTAACAAACTAGTTTCCTGAGTTCTTGTTTTATTTATTTATTTATTTATGTGGGTTTTGGCCAGGGTTGGATTTGAACTCGCCACCTCCAGCATATGGGGCTAGCACCCTACTCCTTTGAGCCACAGGTGCTGCCCCTGAGCCCAGGATTTTGAGGTTGCTGTGAGGTATGATGCCATGGCACTCAGGCCTAGGTGACAGAGACTCTGTCCGCCCCCCCAAAACAAAAAGAATGAGGGAGGGAAGGAGTTGGTCCACAAAGCCCTGAGCAAGGAGAGGTCTAAACATCAGCACAAGGTGGGGAGGTGCAAGCCAGGCAATTTGGCTCTCACCTGTAATCCAGCACTTACAGGGGCAAGATGGGAGGATCACTTGAGGCCAGGAGTTTGAGACCAGCCAAGACAATATAGCAAGATGCTTTCTCTATTAAAAAAAAAAAAAAATAGGAAAAGTAGCTAGGCATGGTGGTGCCTGTAGTCCCAGCTACTTGGGAGGCCAAGATTAGAGAATTACTTAAGCCCAGGAGTCTGAGGCTGCAGAGAGCTATGATGACACCACTGCATTCTAGCTGGGGCAATAGAGCCAGATTCTGTCTCAAAAAAAAAAAAAAAAAAAGACAGGGCCATGGGTCCTCACAGAGACTGCCCACTAAACTGCAGGGTGCTTCACCCTTCCCCAGACCGCCTGCCCAATCCTCGGATCCTGCAGAAGCTAGCTGTGCCCATCATTGGCACGCCTAAGTGCAACCTGCTGTACAGCAAAGATGCTGAGTCTGGCTTCCAGCCCCAAACCATCAAGGATGACATGATCTGTGCTGGCTTTGCTGAGGGCAAGAAGGATGCCTGCAAGGTAGGGGCCAACATGGCTCCAGGGACTCAGCCCTGGCCTGCGGGCCCCAGTCTAGGTGGGATGATGCCCCAGCTGCATGAACTAAGCATTCAACCAGCTGGGAAACTTGTTTTGAAAAAGCAGATTCTTGGAACCCCATACCCCAGGAGGGTCAGAGTCAGTGGGGCTGCAAGAAACTGCATTTTCAACACACATTCTCTAGATGACTAGGTCAGATGATCCAGGGACACTAGAGAAATGGGCACCCTCGTTAAGAAAAGGAAAGCCAAGAAGGTTGGGGGAAGGGGAGGGAGGCAGGGCAGAGTAGAACACAGGTGTACGCATCTGCTGACACTGACACTGCCTCTGGGCTGCACTGAACTTGGGGTGGGCTCTCATGGCACCTCTGCTGATCCACAGGGCGACTCCGGCGGCCCCCTAGTGTGCCTTGTGGGCCAGTCATGGATGCAGGCTGGGGTGATCAGCTGGGGCGAGGGCTGCGCCCGCCAGAACCGCCCTGGCGTCTATATTCGGGTCACTTCCCACCACAACTGGATCCATCGGATCATTCCCGAACTGCAGTTCCAACGGGTTGGGTCCAGTATCCAGAACCGAGGCCCCCGGGGTCAGCAGCCCCTTCGCCATAACCTTGCTCCCTCCCAGGCTGCTCCCTCTGTCCTTCTGGTCCTCCTGGTGATGCTCACCCACCTCTGAGCCCTCCCAGCCTGCAGTATCCCTTTGTAAGTAGCCTTTGTCCTCCCCTCTCTCAAATGCCCAGTTATTTATGTTCACTGTCCAATAAAAAACCAATGTCCATGCCAGCTATCATGTGGGGATCCTTGAGGGGTTCTGGGGGCTGAAGAAGGTGGCCTGGGTGGGGGAAGATGCGGAGGGCGGGGTTCCCAGGGGGAAAGAAGGCAACCCAAGGCAAGGACACCAATGGACCCCAAGGCTGCAATGTCCTTGTGATGCCAGCCACCCCCCTAACAGGCTATCTTACTGCCACCCTGTGCCTTAGTTTCATCATCCTGAGCATCTGCCAAGGGCTGCCCTGTGCTAGGCACTGGGGACAGAGACAGACACAGGTAGAAAGATCATGGCAGGATAGCTAGTGTCTTACAAGGATGGAGGAGGGTTGGGGGGAAGAGAAGCCTCATAAGGGGAGAGGGGAGGAGGGTGGAAGGATAGGAGTGGGAGGAGGAAAGATGCTGATGCATCACCCCAGGCTTCTCTAAGTTATGTCAGCAGAGAAAACAATGACAGCTGTCCCCTTGGGCAAGTGCCTGCACCCTGTGCTTTTCTGACCCATGCAAGGAGGCAAGGATTGGGGGGGGGGGACCACCCACTGCTGCTGCCCTGGCCTTGTCTAGGGGTGCCCTGTACCCTGGGTTCTCCCCTGACTGCAGGTTCTCCCTTGACTCCAGCTCCTCTCTTCCTAGCTTGGGCTTCCCACCAGGAAGTCCAGGGGGAGGGGGAGAGTAGGTAGGGCCAGCCATGAACACATGGCATGCACTCACGCCTTGTGCACATCCATGCCCCTCATATGTGTGCATACCCACGCTCACAACCCAGATATACAAGGCATATTTGTGCACACACAGCCAGCCCACCCTGCACAGTGCAGGGAAGGCGTCAACACCCAATTACCAAACACCTGCTGGGCACTGGCCCTGGGGAGACAGTTGGGAACAAAACATAAGGCATCTCCCCTGCCACTCTCCCACTTAGCTGGGTACAGCTATGTCTTGAGGGGAAGGCAGGTGCAGAAGGGATAGGGTGGGTTGGGCCATGCTGACCCCAAGGGCAACCCCTGTGTGGCTGAGTGGGACTCCTAGGGGAGGTTGGAGGTGAGATCATCTCTAAAGGGAAGTCTCCCAGAGACCAGGACCAAGGCCAGCTTTAGGACACTGCCCCACCCCACCAAGACCCAGGACAGCTGTAGGAGTTTGTTGGAGAACATTCTGCAGGGACATGGGCATAAAGGGAAAGCAGTCTATTCCATCTGATTCCCAGTTCACACCAAGCTTAGTGTTGGAGGATGTGAAGAGAGAATGTCCCAGGTTCTGTTGTAGCTTCCCTCTCCCACCCCGATGGGGGTGCAGTTCAAGTGCAACTTTTCACATGGCCACTACAAAGCAGAGCCTCATTCTGCCAGGTGGGCAGAGGCAGCAGAGCCCTTTCGGCTGCAGGAAGAACACAAGGGACAGGTTGGCACAGACTGGGCACAGAAGGCAAGTGAGAGTTAGCTGGAGCCACCTCCCTAAGCCCAGTGAAAGGCCACCTGGGCCACCACAGCAATCCACAGGTGAGGCAGGAGCCAGACAACCCTCCAGGGGGGCTACAACCAGAAATCCACATGCACAGGTCACACATGCCCACACCACATACCCACATCAGCCTAGGAGCCCAAGGAAGGAAAACTCTGGCCAGGAGTCCTGGCCTAAAAACCTGGTCAGGAGTCACCACAGGCAGGCCTGCCCTAAGCTGAACTCCAGGCCTGCGAACATCGGCGCTGGGGAGGTGTCTGAGGGTAAAGTGCCCCCACGCCACCACCTGGCACTCAGATGCTCACAAGTGTGGAGGTAGCCCCCAAAGCCAGGCCCCCCCACCTTCCCCACAGGATGCAGCTGGTATGGACATCTGCAAGGTGAGGTACCAGCCAGCCACCGTTCGCAGCTCTGGAGGATAGAAGATAGAGACCCTCAGACACCAATAATATAGGGAAAGGGAAGGGAGAGATGCCAAGGAAGGGTACTACCTGCCCCTTGCAATGCTCTGCAAGGCTCTAGGTAGGGCTGTGCAGAAGGCCTAGTATCTGGGAAACGCAGTCTGGGAGACCTGCCCTGCCCTCTAGCTTCCTGGAGCCACATGGCTGGTGGTCCCCTAGCCCCTATGGCAGGAAGGTGGTGCCAGAGGCTCAGAGTCTGAGGAGGGGCAGGGTGAGCCCTGCCCAGTAGATCTAGAGGCCCTGAGAGCCCTTGGCCCAGCCCAGGACCCAGACTGGACAGCCAGACTCCCTCCCAGCCTTTGTTCAGATGAGAGGGAGGCTCCGGCTTTGATTGAGGACCCCCACCATACTCAGGCCTCTCCTAGGCGCTCACAGTTTGCCCAGCCAAAGGGCTGCAAGTCATGCCCTGGTTTCAGGCAACTGAAAGACCCCTTGGCTGCATACTGGACACCTGGAAGCACCTGGGCTTTGCTACAGGCAGCCCCCCTCCCCATCCCCATCCTACACCCCAGCCCAAGAGAGCAGGACAGTCCTCATTAGGGCCCTGATAGGTCAGAATGGGTCCATCACCCTGGCTGGCCATAGGACAAAGCTAGGAGACTCCAGCATCCTGGGGTCAAGGAATTCCTGGCCAACCCCAGGTAGCCAGAGCCCTCCAAAGGACACTGGAAACAGGAACTTCCCTCAAGGGAGCCTGGAAGCTTCCACAGAGGAGCTACCAGGTCAGACAGGGGTGCCAGGCCCCAGATAGTTGCCTCCAAGCCTGAGCTCAGTCACTTGAGCTCAGCCAACTGAGTAGATATGAACTCCATGAAGTATCAGCACTTTCAGAAAACCTCACTTGAGCTGGGCATGGTGGGCACCTGTAGTCTCAGCTACCTTGGAGGCTGAGGCAAGAGGATTGCTTGAGGCCAGGAGTTCAAGTCTAGTCTCATAAAAAGTCATCTGTATTTGGTCTCCTCTCCCCTGGGAGTGGTGGCATGATGTAAGCATAAGGGAGGTGAGGTACCCAGCTTGAATCTGCCAGCCCTGGTCCAAGCCAGCCCCACCAGGGACAGAACTTGGGAAGGCCTGGCTCCATCCCAGCCCAACTGTGCTGAGGCAGAGCCTTGAGCAGCTAGGCCAGTGCTTCCTTGGCAGGAGCATCCCTGTGCATCTTAAAACACTAACAGTTGCTATGCTCATTCATAAATACACAATTTTATTTGCTATTTTCAGGGGAAACTTAGGCATTAAACTGTAAGCTGATAAAATACGGATACCTAAAAAAGTATAAAAGTATAAATATCCCCTTAGAATAAATTTTAGTGAATTAAGTCTTAACATCTTTAAATTAAAAAAACCACGAGCCTATCTATTATGTCAAGGTCATAAATCAAACAATGCTAAGCGGCCAGCAGCTCCCCAAAGAGCACACCTTGTGGCCAACAACAGGCCACTTTCCTTCTGGGGCTCCACTGGGGAGGACAGGTCAGCCAGTGGCTAAATCTGCCCTATAGAAAGGCTTTTAGAAACTGTTTAAACCAAACATGTAACAACATACAAGAGACCTTACAAAAAACAAGGAGGTAAGTCCTAGATGCTGGAGAACTTGGTTAATCAGGTTATTGGCAAAGAAGAAGGGAAAGAGGCCTAGGCAGGAAGTCTCCGGAAGCATTTGACACTAGACATTGTCAGAGTCTCTGACCTACATGTGGCAGCCCCCAGTGGTTAGTTTGCACAGCTCCCCCTGGGAGGAGGGGGAGGCCAGAGTTGGAGGAGCAAAGAGCTTGCTCATTCGAGCCAGGTCCGCCAGACTCGGATAAGTCCTACAACCAGCTGAGAGGTCTGCAAAGCATACAGGCAGCAGTTTCTAGGGGATTCTAGTAGCTCCAACGTCATGTCAGATGGCAGAGCCTATGTAGGCTGTGTGAAGTCTCGAACATCCCAGAAAGAGAGAGAGGACTGCATAGTTATACAGAGAAAACGAGAGCCGGCGAGAGGAGAGAAACGTTTGTGATACGCTGTAAACATCCAAAATATTCAACGTAACCCAGAGTGTCAGCTCCAGAAGCCGGGTGGACAGGCTTCCAGCCCAACCTCTGTCCCAGCCGCGACAAGGCACTGACGGGCGCCAGCTCCCCCAGAGCGGGAGGGTGAGGCACTGCTTCTGCCCCCCATGATGATTAATTAACAGATCAACCCAAACAGAACAACACCTGTAGGCATTTCTAGGGAGTGTGAACATTGGGGAGACAACCACAATTGAAAAAAGGGATACAAAGTTCTCTCTCCTGGAAAATAGAAATTGAGAAGCCTTGACCGTTGAGGCTCAAACAGGCTGGGCTTGCAGCCTGTTTTTGAAGGAGACCAGGTCCTGGGAGCGATGCCAGGAAGTAGTGATGACAAAGAAGCCACCTGTGCCAGGAGCTGCTGTCCAGATTGAGAAACCATCACACGAGCACACCTGGGAGACAGCACAGATTCCCCAACAGAGGCCCAGAGTCTGACACTGGGTGACCAGCAGACACCCAGAGCAGAGGCCCAGTACACTGGACATTCGACGTGGCTGCTGCCTCTCCTGCCAGTAAGGCCCAGGTTGCCTTTACAGACTGTTCATGTAGCACCAAGAACGCTGTCCTTTAACGGTCTTCAGTGATAACACGGACTCCTCAGAAGCATCCTGCCTCAGTCCCACGTGGCACTTGGAAAAGACAGAGCAAGGCCCCCCAGAGACAATGCCCACTGGCCACAGCACCTCCTCCCAGTGGGGATGCCTGGCCCTAGACAGCTGGGCCTGTCTCTCACCACCCACCTCAGAGGCAAAAAAGGATTCACACCCAGATCTCTAGGAAAATTATCAAAAGCAGGTTTCTTCTCACAGCCAAGCTTCCTAGACAAGGCAGTTCATTGCATCTTGGGAAAAAGTAGTTCATTTTTTCAGCTGTCAATACTGTTGTCTCTCACATCCTTGAACCCCGTTCTTGCAAAATCTGAAAAACACCAAATGTAGAGAATGAGGGATCAGGCCCTGGATGGGGCAAATGGCCCTGACCAAGCACCTGCTGCAGAAAGCTGAGCCCATAGGCCTGGAGCTGGCCACAGACAGATCACTCAGCTCAGGGGCCCAGAGGAAACTGGCATGGGAGGCCAGAGTCCTGGTAGGCAGGGGGCACACCTGCGCATCCTGTGCCCTGGCCACACGCAGGCCCCACCCAGGGTCACTCCTCCCCACTCAGCCCCTGCCAAACAGATCAGCTCTTGTCCCAAGTACTCTCCCTCGCAACAATAAGCCTGTGGCCTCCAACCCACTGTGAGACATCCTGGCATGGCCCTCGACAAGGGCAGATCCTTGGCAAGACCCCAGAGACACCCCCCCGTCCCATGGCAGTCCCTGCTGTCTGCCCAGGGAACCTGTCGCCTGTTTCCCAGGGCCCTCTGCTGCCTCCCAAGGGTACAGACCCCACCTGAGGGTTCACCACCCACCTGACAGGCACTGCCTGCTGAATCTCTCAGCCCAACCCAGTCCCAAGCCTCAGGCAGGCATATGTAGCTGGGCCTTGGGGTCCCTCAGCAGCCCCTGCCCTGACCTGTCCTTCTCTTACCCATACCTCCTACAGCCCACACTCCCTCCCCTGCACCCTGTTACATGTCCATATGCTGGGCTTCCTGGGAATCCCCCACACCCATCTCGATCCCCTCACTGGCCTCTACCTCTGCCTGCCTAAGGGCTCCCTGAGGATGTACCTGGGCACTAGCAAATGCTCAGCTGAACCCCTAAAATGAACCACCCAGACCCAAAGGCCGATACAGGGGGTGCTTGCGTCCCCAAGTAGGGACCACTGGAGCTGGCGCATCTCACTGGGAGTCAACTCAGCAGTGACTGACTGACCTCACATATCATGTCCGGGCTGCTAAGTACCAGGCCAGAGGCCAGAACACCATGAGCCCAACCTGACAACACAGCAGGGTGACCAGCCATATGACTCTCAGGGAGCCCACTGGCAGCTACTTACCTCCCTGAATGGCAGTTCATTCCCTTGAGTCACTCCTGCCTGTCCCCTGACACTCCCAACTCCTGGCCTGTCCCAGTCCCTACAGTCTGAGCGCCTCTTGGCCACTCCTCAGCCCTCCCTCCCTGTTTGCTCTCTACTACCTCCCCAGCACCTCCTGCTGTGCTATAGCACAGCCCCTCCTGGCTGACAAAGGCACTGTGATCCTGAGCTTGATGGGACATCTGGAGGAGACACAGATACCACACCAAGTAAAGCCCACCCACCCCATGTGGAGCTGGAGGCAGCTGAGCAGAGAGGAGTCAGCAAAACTAGGCCCTGGGGCTTGTGAGTGACTGTCCTAGACAAAGCTCTGGTAGGACCCACCTCTTCTGGGCAGGCTCCCACCCAGGACCACCCTCCATAAGGAGGGCTGCATCCAACTTCAGAGACAAGGCAGGCCCCAGGGCGGCTGACATGGTTTTTAGGACCACATAGTGGCAGCATCCCCTGGCTTGGGCAGAACAAAGGACATCTCAGGTTCTGGTGTCCAAGATGGGGGTACACCATCTGTTGCACAGCTTTCCTGAGCCCTGTGGCCTGAGCTGGGCAGGAGGGCTCCCCACTGGGGCCAGCAGGCTGGAGCGAGCACACACTGCCCAGCCCCAGGAGGCACTCCAGTCCACACCTGCTGATGTCCACAGCCTGGCCTGGGGCAAAGGGCTCTCTACTATTGCAGCAAATGCCCATCCTCCTATCCATGGGCGTCATGAGGAAGAGACACTAACAGTGCAACACCCAGTGTCCTAGCAACAGCCCCACCACCATAGGCAGCTCTACTATGGATCTACAGTCAGCACAGAGCACAGAAGGTTCTCACCAACTAGAGGCACAGGGCAGATATGGGCAAGGGTCAGCTGGGTCAGAGGGCCAGGGAGTCTATGGTGCATGGGTCAATTGTAAGGGTGCAGAGCTCACCATGACATCTAC